GTCCCAATCCCAATTGTTACAAATTTTTCATTCGTTGTCAAACCGAGGGGCGGAGTGTAACTGCAAATTCCAAGTTTCTCGTGAAAAGAAGACTACGTATTTAAAAAAAAATAACGGCAAAATATAGCTGCAACTTGGTTTCTAATAGATGTACACAAATCAAGAAACATAAATGTATGTTTGCCTTTTTAAATTATCACTAATATCATTAAAATAGAATATAGAAAGAAGTGGACCCAGATTTGAGCTCTGGGCAATACCAAGATCACTGACAATGCCTTACTTAAGTCTAGATAAACTATGTCAATTTGAGATCTACTATCCAAAGCTTTGGAAACATTTTGTGTAAGCCATAATTAGTGAATTATTATTATTATTATTATTAATAACCACCCCCACAGTGAAACCAATTTTCAATAGTAATTTACGCAACTAGTTCGGGATAGCCTGCTTCCCGCATGAACGCTTGTTTGAGGCACGACCGAAGGGAGTGCCGCATTTGCGTGAATGCGGGAAGCAGGCTCACGAACGTGTTGTGTACAATATTTTTTGCGACGAATAAACCTTTAAACTGAAGAGATTAACTGTGAGTTATTTATAAACAACGCCATTGACAGCGCCGTCAACACGTCACAATGTTGACACTACCCGAGTATTTTAAGGTTACCATGGTAACGGGAAGTTAAATGCACGTGTGCGGGAAGTTCGACCTCCCGCACTCTGGTGAATGCGCGAAAGCTATCAAAAAAGGTCATGAGTGCAAAAAAGTTTTTGCAACCTCTAATAACAAACCCTAGGGCTTTTATTGTTGATGATGTAATGAAATCATAGTGGGCAGTGAAAGAGATTTTCTTGTCAAATGTAATTTCCGAGTATTTCACGAAAGAGAGCCGGTTCAGACTGGTGTCGCCAATTTTATAATCATACAAGTTGTTATAGAGCTTCAATGAAAATGTCATGACATTAAATTTGGAAATGTTCAAGTACAATTCATTTTGGGTACACCTGGTCTCAATTCTGGCTAAATCTTCTTGAAGCATTACATGGTCAGAGAATGTTAATATTTTTCTAAAAATTTTTAAATCGTCAGCATATAAAAGACATTCTGAATTCAGGTCCTTACCGATGTCATTAACAAACATAATACAAAAGAGAGGCCCAAGAATGGACCACTGTGGTACACAGGAGGTGACTTGAATTTCAAAATATTGAAAACCGCTTGAAGTTACAACTTGTGTTCTGGCAATCAAGTACGAACTAAACAATTTAACAAGTTTAGTGCATCTGATAAATCAAAACTATCAAGCTTTTTCAGTAACAACAGTGACTTTTAGCAAGACCATATTATTCTCTTATTTAGAGAAGATCTATTTGTTATGGATTTTGTTTTTTTATTTTTAGAGAAATTTTTATCCAACATTCTATTCCTTTTATTTCCCGAGGGTAACCTAGGCTGTAAACGAGTCTATCGAATGACTGACTACTTTCATGTTTTCTCGACGTTTCATGATCCCTAGAGTGCGAAAACATTGACCCCCGTTTCCGTCTGTCTATCTGTCTGTTTGCCGGCTGTCGTAACTCTTCAGTGTCAATTTTTATCAGGCAGATAATTTCCGAAACTACCGGACCTATTTTGTCAAATTTTGTCAATATAGTGTAGATAGTAAAACACTAACCAACATTTGGCTATCATCCGCACCAACAATGAGATGACTTAGTAAAACAGAGTTTTGGAAAAAAAATCAAAACTTTGTAACAACATTTTGTAATGCAACTTTGAAACTTCAAAACCGAGTGCTCTAAAATCTTCCAAACGTTTTAAGGTTATCATAGGCATGGTAAATCGTTTATCAAAATTGTTTCATTTATGCCTCTCCATAAAATGATGACGTCATTTTAGAAATTTGCCGAATAACATTTTACAGAATAACATACTCCTGTATGTGTGATTTATGAAACCGTGTAGAGTTTTTATCCTAGGCATCCAGATTTTTGTGAAAAATCGTCAATCAAAATTTGTCTGTTTATACCCCGCCGTCTAAAATGATAAAGTCATCTTACAATTTTGTCGAATAAATGTTTTTCTAATTTATGAGTGTTTACTAATGTAAAATCTGGGTACCTAGTGCCAACCAATTTTTTGGAAAAAACCGGGTGTGTTTAATTCCTCTGCATTGAGGAGACAAATTTCATTCATAAATGCCGGCGCTGATGTTTGTAATCTGACTTGCTTAAAGTCGACTTCTTTCGAAGTATAAACAATCGAAGTTAAGCATGTACTGAAAAATTGAGAATACATTTTTTCCCGTTGGTTCTACTGACAGTATAAATTTAATATTGTCTGCACTTGTGCAGACCGCGTCCCCTAGGAATTTACACCCCTGCACCACAAGGGCTACCTTTTTTCCTGTACAAAAGTTATCACAAATAAAAAGATTGCAAAATTAAATTTTATCATTTTTCAAAGAAACAGGATTTATTGGACTGTATTTCAAGGGCGTCGGAAGTTCTTTCGAAATAACTTCCGACCAATTTTTTATACTTGTTAATAGCATTCCATTAATTATTTTTAAAATATTCTTCAAAAAGTCAACACAGGCCGAAGAAAACTGGAAATCTGCATTTTCATCTTTCACACCAAGAAAATCGGAAATTAGAGATTCGTCGTGTTAGATATTTTTTATGACTGAGTTTTAATATTTATGAATAAAAAAGTTGAACAAAAATCGCATATTTCTTTTGACATACAAGTGCTATACATATATACACATAGATAGACCGGAAACTATGAGAAAAAATTGTATACATATTTTTGAATAAATATTATTGTACATTTTTATTTTTTTGGAAATCAACAAGCAAGATTCTATTAACATTCTATAACTTACTTTTTTATCAAAAATTTTAATTAAGTCCGGTTTCAGTGTACATTACATTCTTAAAGATTTTGCAATAATCAGGTTAGTAGTTTTAGCGACCACGACTCTATTGAAATCATCCACGGATAGTCCACAAACAGACGATAGAAGACGACGGACCGACGGAAATGAGAGACCGACATGCAAACGGAAATATGAAATTCGTCCAAATAAGCCTTATTCTTATTACTGACGTTCAAAACTTTTTGTTTTCAAGAATAATAATTCTCTCATGCCTGCTATGAAAACGTAATTACTTATATTATAACAAAGAACGCAATAAAATATTACACGATAACCACATTTCTACAAAAAATGGATTTATACATGGAATAAAGTTGCGAAAGTTGGAGGACTTTTGAAAACATATTAATGGAAAAATGCACTAAAAGTACATCCTTGAATGCAAATACTTGCATGAAATGTACTATTTTTAGTTCTTTAATAACACTGTTTTAAAGTAATCTGACCCTGCTCCAACTGCAACGCTGTTATCATTCGTGCACATGCAAAAAGTTTTCTTTAAACTCAACTATATCATTTTTCGTAAATAACGATAAATGATTGCTTTATTTACTTCATTATTCCAATTTTAATGGAAAAATATTTTCAATGGCCAATAAAGCAACAAGAATATTACTCTTTTTTTTGAAATTTATAAATTTTACGACAACCAATTACAAAGCAGTGAGACCTTGATCATTAAAAATGCACTGTTTATTACTTAATTGTTAAATATCTACTAAAATTTGGCATAATGTAACAGTACTAAATGAATTATATCTTTAATTGAAATTAGGATAATTAAAATACTTTCATTATTTTACTACCATAAATTGTTCAAAGGCATGAGTGTGACGCTAATATTAATTTGACGGTGAGCATTAATCGGTTTTATTACCCCAAAATAAATTGGCGTACAAAATCAAATACTGACGAAAACACAATTTACTTGGGTTTAAATCATATTTTTGAAAATATTTTTATTATTTAGAAATTCGAAATTTAGCTGACAAAAGGTTAACTTTTGAAAGAGAAAACATTGTTTTAGGGCTGATTTGTAACAAAATACGGTATATTGATTTATCTGCTATTGTATGATCTATAATCTATACTACTCTAATCTACCTTACTTGGAGCGCAACCTCCTTGATTAAAACAGTGCTTTCAAATTGTTATTAATTCATCAACATTTTTTGAATAGCTTTCAGTACGACCATTTTTGTCAAATTTTATTCTTAAATCTTTTTATCACATTTGTTACAAAATTTACAAATACCGTCGTGGAGTACAAAAGTCTTTGTTTTTAATTTAAATTATTTCGTGTTGCCACATATGAGGCCCACAGAGACCAAATCTACGTTGAGTTTCACAATGTTTGTGTTTTAATTAAAAACAATGTGTGAAGAGTTTACCGCAATGAACTTTACAGGTCAGGGTTAGATAGAATCTGAATCTAACTCGCGTGCAAATATCGAATTCATTAAATACTACAAGTTATATTTATTAGGTTGTGAGTAACTGTGGGGTTTGCGTGATTTCTGTTAGCCTTTATGATGCGCAACCTCTTTAAGAATGAATAGATAACATTATACCGCAGATCCTAATTCCGTCAGACCTTAATACTACCAATCAACGAACATAATTATGGATATGTAAACTTAAACGTTATCTTTGTTACCAAATTAAATTTAGATATAACCCACCTAATGGAATTTTGATTTATTCCTCGGCAAATTAGAATCTTAAAATAAACTGATAACGGAAATCCATTACCTACGGAATGTTTCGGAAGTCAGAATAAGGTATTATTGACTAAACAACGCAGCTTGTCAAGATGCCTTTTGGTTTTTCAGTGTAGATGGACCACGCATTGTAATTCAACAACATTTAATACTCAGTAACTCATTTGTAGCAATCTTCCATCGCATCGTCAACGAATCAACAATGTTATCTTAAAAGAAATTGTCTATTAGAAAAATTTTGTAATCGAACTGTTGCACGTTGTTGATGTTAAATGGTGGGCAACCAATAAATAACTTATTGCCAGTGTTATCAAAACAATATATGTTCTTCTTGCAGGTCTGTTTGGAACGAGGTTGGAGGGAGTTTAATCCAGAAAGTGGGGAGCAATGGAATCTTTGGTGGAGAACTTCGGGCTTCCCAGTTAGCCATCACAGGAATTTATATGCGTGGCAGGTAACCACTCCAACAACAATTATGAATACTGGTTGAAAATCCACTAATCATTATTCATAATTCCAGTAGTATGTTTTAAAATAATTTCATTTGATCGTTAGTATATTAACCACATACCGAAAGGATCAGCAATATGCAGAAAGGACAACTTGGTCCGCTATCTGAGGTGCATGCGAAAAGTTTATGGCTCAATTTACGACTTTAGGTAACGAAATTTTATTACTAATGCACTAATAATAACCAGTTTCTAGTCCTCACGGTTACAATCTTCCCCTCGAATACACAAAATTGGCAGCAGAATGCAGTAGAGGCGGTCGATTACTTTCGGGAAAAAATGACGTCAGTAACGACAGAGTCATGGAGGACAAACCAATCTGGATTTGCAAACCTGTTGCTCAGAGTCAAGGGCGGGGGATTTTTCTATTTAGGGTAACAACTAAGAATAATCAATAACGATTTTCTCCAAAAATGTATTTTTAGAAACTGAGTGAATTAAGCTATGATTCGAACACGATTGTTCAGAGGTACATAGAGAAGCCGCTTTTGATAGGAGGTTACAAATTTGATCTGAGGCTCTATGTCTGCATACCGTCTTATCATCCTGTGACAATATACATGTACAGGGAAGGTCTGGCCCGTTTTGGTACAGATAAGTTCAGCTTAAATGACTTGAGAAATCCATTTCGTCATCTGACTAATTCGTCGATTAATAAACTTGGACCGGGATATACGGAGATGAAGGACAGGATTGGATCAGGTATAACTGAAACTGGGCTAACTATATATAAATGATACAATTAAGTTTATTTTAAAAACAAAAACTATTACGGGGTTTTCTGTCATTTTGGACTTACTCTACAAGAACAAAATCATATTTTCGAAATGGAGATTCAACAAATCGTCACTTGTTGACTTCAATTCTCTAATTTTTTTATTTGTTATTGATCTTGAAAATAATATTTTATAAAACTTTCTTATGAAGATGCAAATGAAGACTTTAAGACCAGAAAACGATGCTTGACGATACAGTTTAAAATAAAAGACAAGGAAAAAGACAATTTGACTAACTCATTGATTTCATGAAAGAAAAACTTTAGAAAAACGAAAATAAAATCCTGAAGACCAAAAAACTTACATATACCTATATCGTCTAACCCCGGATAGAATCAGTGACCAAACTAAAATTCAGAATCAATTTCTGAAAAGTTTAGATCGAAAATTTATAAAATTTGAGAAACAATTTTGAATTCTGCACTTTGTTCAGAACAGTTAGGTCTTTCATATAAAAAACTATGACGTATCAAAACAAATAGTCATAAGTAATCCTTCGTGCTGATTTTAATTATAAATTTAAAAGCAAAGATGAGCAGTGCCATGTTCTCCATCGCACTATAGTTTTCCGCTAAATATTTGCATAATTTATTCATTTTTTTGTGTTGAATAGGATTTTTACATTGCTATTTCTGTTCACACTGCATTCTCTGATCAAGGAGATAACAGTTAAAAAACACCGGTTGTAATTTTAACAAATCTAGATCCATAACGCTATCTGGCAAATTCCAGGTATAGTGAACCAAGACCTATAAGGTTATATGGCCATCATAAAAGTAGTTGACCGCAAATAAATACCCCCTTTGTGTGGTTCGCACTAAGCTTACCGGTTGGCAATAAATCATCTTCTAAACATTTCTTGCTCATATTTAACAGGGCCGGCTTTCAAAGCGAGTGGTTATTTCGGAACCCTCAGCGGCTGCAGGTAGTAAAGAAATAGTGGAGTGGTGGATTTTCATATTTAGTGAAAGCCGCCCCTGAACGAAACCGCAAGAGCCGGTCGAGCTGCAGTGGACACGTTATTTACGACCCTAAAACCTTTTCTATTGTAAACAACTTAACTTCGACACAATGGGATGATTTTATGATGGCCATATAACCTTATAACTCTTGGTTCACTATATTTCATGATACTGAAAACACAGGCTATTTTTTTTTTATTGACAGGGATGATATTAATATTAATGAAAATTTAATATGTTAAATTATACAATTCATGTCTGATAAATCTGGGCTTTTCAAGGAAAAAACCAAATTATAAATATTTAATAATCGAACCTGTAATAAATATGTAATTTCATGACTAAATGAAAAACATGCAGTTACTGTGCGATTGTTCAAAGTATTGGCATAACTAAAATTAATAATAGCGACTGGTTTAGGAAAGCTGGAAATGTCGTTGCAAAATCGGAGGCAAAAAGTGTGTTACAAAAAGTTATAACGTATAGTATTTCATACTCAGACTGATTTAGCGTACAAAGCTTAGTACATAATTTATTTAACAATTTTTAGTAGCCTAATTTGCCACTACTAGAAAAACTTTTAGGTATACGTGTAAAGTAGTACTAGAAGAATCAGTCTAGAGATTTTGGTGTAAATATTTCTTGAAAGCTCACGAATGGTAAACTAGACTTGAAAAACTGGAGACTACACTCTTTCAAATTAGCCACCAATATTTTTTCAGTTGGTACTACTTCCTTCCATTTCTTGAAGCTTTCATACACTTTTTCATACCTTCCCTTCGATTTTCTTAGAAATATAGACTTACAACACGTTTCATATATACTCTATATTTCTAGATCTACGTCGGAATCGTCTTTATCAACCATTAGATAACACTTGATAATGTATAGAACCTTTGGATATTTCTGTCAGGGTTAGAAATTTTATCTCATGCAATTTTACGATGAAATTGATAATCACAAAATTATTAAAAATTGAATTTATTCATTCGGTGTCTAAAACGTTTCGAGTAAAATAATTCCACGGTATTCTAAATAACTGAAACCATGGCGTATTTTGAAAATGTTCTTGTCAAAATTGTCCAGTTAATTTAATCTGAATTTTTTATGATTTGATTTCTGTAAATGCGATTGTATGAAAAATGTTGTTAAGTTCGTAGCAAAATCTCAAAATTGAAAAAACTTTTCTCGATTTGGTTTTAATATGCTTACCAACGTCATAGTGTAATATTATTTCCAACGCAGTCGCATTATTGTTCGCACTGTTTTTAGCACCAAAAAGAAAATTCCAATTTTTTTAAATTTAAACACGAATTGAAATATATACCATGTGACATATACATATTTATAAAATTTTACTGAGATTTTTAATATTCTGTTTGACGTTAGAGCGCCATCTTTGTAAAATGTTTAATATGGCATTTTACTTAACTTTCGATGAATCTCTTTCCTGCCGACGATCAATTCATTATTGGCTCTTTAATAAACTCTCAGTCCCACCATACAGCTAGTGGGACTGACAAGACACAATACATTTTTTTCTGTCAATATTATATTTGCTGTTATTAAGTAAACAATAGATCTTTATTGCATATTAAATGCTGCCATAAATGTAAATCTACTGTTAAATCGAAAACAAAATGTACAAATCGTTAAATGAAGCATAATACATATTAATAGTGAATGTTATAGTCTAAATTAAAACAACAGTATTCAATGCAATAAATACAAATTTCAAATCGAATTCTGAAGATCAATACAGGAAACAGCAGTTAGCTAACAAATCACATTCGTAATTTTTCCTATTATACATTTTATTTGCATTTTCTGTGTCTGTCTTTAACATATATTTTTTATCTGATTCTACTATAGATTATGTTACTGACTAAATCTTCATATTCTAAAAATCGCCTCGCATATATGGAAAGTTTTCGTTGCAATAGTTATATCATACGTGATTTTTAAATATATATAATAAGAAACAAAAATGTCTGCCTCCTAAACATAATTCAATATTAGCAAAGTATTACTAACTACTAACTATATGTGATTTAAAATCGGCTTAAATTAATCGATAAATTACACTTCGCGTTAGTGTTGTAATTAAAAATCTCTGTACTGGTTCTACTTTATTATCTTAAAGAGTTTAGAAAGATAATAATGAATTTCACACTGTTTACTCACGGTAATGTCTAAAGTAACTTACATACCTTTGTTAAACCGAATGTAAAAGTTAATAATCAATGCTGACATTTCAAATGATTTGAAAGGAATGCAACACTCGAACGGTTTTGTGATTTCATGAACCATTTATTTTTCTGAAAGTTATGAATTTGTAATAAGAAGCATTCAATTATGAGAGTGTCAAGATAAATTTATTACAGTTCAGGACAATAAATTTATTACCACTTTAACTACTTCTATTGTCTACCACAACCGAAAAATAATTCACGTTCTAGGTAGTTCTCATTTATAAAGTTTTAGATCACGGAACTCCAAGTTGTTCTACCCTAATTCAATTACTTTCATTCTGCACTCTTTTTATAGGTTGCAAATGGACGCTAAGACAATTAAGAAGATACTTCCAACAAGCAGGAATTTCCGACTGGCTGTTATGGCAACGAATTTCGTCTTTAGTTATTTTGACTGTACTAAGTCATGTTAATCAAATACCGCCAACAGTAAACTGTTTTGAATTTTTTGGATTCGATGTCTTGATTGACAGTTCTTTAAGACCGTGGTTGCTGGAGGTTCGTGTACTTCATAAGTAATTTTTCTTTTTTAAACTAAGGTGTCAGTTAGCTTCACGTTTTGATTGGTGAATGTAACATTAGCACGAAAACAATCATTAACAGACTCATAGTAGCCACCATTTAACACGGCATGGGTTTGCGGTCTACGACCAACTCTTAACGTAAAGCTAATTAAACCTCTCTTTACGGTTTTGCATTTTTTTTTTCCAATGGTCGTAAAACTAGCAGAGAAATTATTGCTTCAGTGTTTGAGTCAAGTAAGCGTGACGTATAAATAAACAATAATTAATCGGTTTTCATTATGCATATCGATCAAACTAGAGTAGACAATTCTTTCTCAGTATTCCAATCACGAACACATATAATTTCCAATTTATTTCCGTCTCTTCTCGTAGCTTTTATTGGAATGTTAATGAGATCAGAAGATAATAAAACTTTAATTTCTATCAAGTTTACGATCGTAGCTTCAGTTCAAACTTACTTCTTTCTCTCATTTGTGACATCGGAAAAACACGTGCACGTAATTTCGCCATTATCAAAATTATTTTTAACTTCCACATTTTATTATTTAATCGATGCACGAAAGTCGAAAAATGTTTCAGGTTAACTTGAGTCCGGCCCTTAGCAACGACTGCGATGCTGATAGATCAGTGAAAAAACCTATGCTACATGATATGTTCGATCTGTTAGGACTACCTCTGTACAACACGGGACTTGCGGTTTTTGATATTTGGTTAGATGACTCCAGCGAGAATAACAAGTACCGACTATCACATTCTTTTGATTGATACTCAAATCGTTTTGTTTTAAGCGAGGAAGATAAAGACAGAACCAAAAGTGCCGCCTTTAAGAACACATTGTCAGTTTTGAACGCAGCAGGAAGATGGCGCAGGAAACACCGAAAAATGTCAGCCAAACAAATCAGCTCAAGGTCCAACTCTGCTGTTCGCGCCAAAGTACGAACAGTTTCAGCTAACACTCCAAGTACCGAAATTACAGATGATTAATCTATTCACTAACTTTCCACTTTCCAGAAATTGTCAACTTGCCAAAAGTAAACTTACACATGCCAAAAGCCAAGCCAAACTACGATGTAAACAAAAACGCAAGTTTCGTCAAGATGAAATATCTTTCGATTTTTTATTCTTTTGTGTTACAGTTTGACGACGACGTTAAGAAAATAAACTCTAGGAAATGGGGAAACGGTCGCGACTGGAACTTTGCACCAAGTAGTGAAGGTGGTTGGATTCGCCTTTGGCCCGTGTCTGTAGAACCACTAAACAGAAACTCGAACGGTCTCAGTGTGAAACAGATGGTGTCAAAAATCATCAAGTTTACCAAGAGTGCGAAAGATTTAGCTAAAAATCATCCCACTGCCTCCGAGTGTCAACTAAACGAATTTTTGCAACAGGAAATGGATATGTCGGGGGAGATTTGGATACCTCCGGTTTAAGATTTTTCTTGCAAATGTTTTTGCTACTGCTGCTGGAACTGAGTTGTAGCAATGCCAAAAAAAGTGATTATTAGTTGCGTTGACTTTGCTCGATTGTCTTCATCGATTTCTCTTCGTCTATAATTCGTTATGGCATTTTGATCGTCTCTGTAGTTTCGTCACTGCCTTGAAAAATTTCTCGATATTTAAAATAAACGTTCAGTACGATTTTGTTTTTTTTTTGTAAGGGGGACAAGTAACAATGAAAAATAAATTAATACATACATCTAGATTTATTCATAAAGAATTTGCCAAGAACAGTCCATCTATTTATTACATCTTATAATGGCACTTAAATATGATAAAATTAATTATAATACATTATATAACATTATCTACACTTCACTTTATAAACAAATACAATTGCGTAACACTTTAAGACTAGCACTATTAACAATACCAATATACAAGGTATATCAGTTTATCTTTTGGTAAGTAAGTCGTGTCATGTTTAATGGGGTCAACAGTTTAATAGGTGCCTATACATTTATTTCAAAGAAAAGCACTAAATAAATACGGTAACATGAACGGCATGCTTCTTAGCGAGCATGGTTCTTGCAGAATGGACGTCCTCCTTTAGCAAAGAAGCTTTGTCCTTCCAAATTCTTCTTGCACATCTACAACCACAGATCAATCTTTTCCAAAATCGATTTTTTTGTACTTACCGTGCAATTGAAGCACTGGCTGTGGTAGTTGTTGTTCAAAGCTTCTACCCAACGATCGCCAGCTTCGACCGGAAAACCGCAAGCAAAGCACTTGGTAGTGAAGAGTTCATTCCAATCTAGAAGAAAATTTTTGTTGATTATGAAATGCAACGATTATTATAATATAACTTACCCGTTTCACAGTAAGGATTTCCGTCTTCCAAGAAGAACGGATTGTTTCCAAAGAGTTTTCCGCAGTAGAAGCATGCAAAGCACTCAGGATGGAAGTTCTTTCCAATAGCTTTGAGGCAATCCTGCAACAGGTCATTAACATTATAGATTGTTAGAATAGTTTCGTCTTAATAACACACCCCTTTAACTTTGGCGCTGCATTTAGCACAAGTGGGAGCCAAGTATTGTTCAAAGCAGTATTCGCAATACAATTGGCCTTGCTCTTCTACAAAGCCAAGATCTTGAAGAGGGCGTCTGCAGGAAGGTGTTGCACAAATGAAATGTTCCGGACACCAGATCTTGCCAAGAGCGGTGATGAACGGACCCCTATAGACCAACAGTTTTTGTTTAACACATTTCTGACACTTATCGCTACCATGCATTACCTGACAATTTCACTATTACAGCAACAACACACTGGGATTTTGTCTTTTGCTTTGGATGCATCTTCAACGGTTATTAGTGCACCGTGATGGGGTTTATTAGTGAATGTTAAATTATCTGGCAAATCTAATTCGACTTCAGATTGATGGCTAACAAACTCTTTAGTAGTTTGAGGTTTGGAAACTTCGGAATACATAGCAGAGGAACGAGGGTAGGGAGCACCACTACGCATCTCCGACAAAAATTTTTCTCTAACGGTATCATTATTTTGGGCATTTTTGGAACTAGATGACGATTGAGACGAATAATCCGATCTAGGTGAGGATCCTTTGGAATCTAACTGGGGAGAGGTGGATAGAGGAATTGTGATATTAACTTGGCCGTAAGTCGGAGTGCTATTACTTTCTCCAATTTGCAAATACATCGAACTACGTTTGATATCCTTGTTAGCTATGGGGTTAACGTAGTCTAAAATAAAGCAAAAAAGTCACACACACGGCAAAATTAAATTAGTCGCCACAGAAACCACAACATCAAACAACTTCTACCTGATCTGCGAGTGACACGACGCGCAAAGTGCTATTCTTGTTCCGGCCAGTGCTGCAGCGTTGAGAACACCACGACCACGTTTTGGTGCTACACCAACAGCTCCGGCTTGACGACCACCACCTGAACCTGAACCTGAACCTGCACCTGTATTGGGAACGGGAATATTGGATCTGTTTACACTTTGGTCAGGTTTCTTCGCAGAACCCGAAGGGGCAGTAACATGTCTGATAGGAGACGTTAACGATGGAGCTGGGATATGTTTAATGGGACATGGTTTCGGAGGCTGTTGCTGCTGTTTCTGTTGTTGAGGAGGTTGCTGAACTTGCAGTAATGGTTTAGGTGCTGATTCTGACTGCGAAGCATTAGCTTTTAAAAAAGGAGATATAATTGGCTGGGGATTAGTCACGTGCATTCCTACAATTCCAGGCTGTTCAACAATTGGGTTTTTTACCTCCCTAAAAGGATACTGTTTCGTGTTAGTAACATTTTTCTCGATTTGCACAAATTTTGCTTTTTGGGTATGTTCGAATTCTTCCGTTACAGTTTTCTTTCTCTGAACTTGAACGGTACCGTCACTTGAACTTTCTAAGCTCTGAGACTCGGACTTCTTCATTTGTTCTAAGTGATCTAAATGAGACTTTTCGAGTATGGCAGTCGACATAGTGGCCTGTCCACTTTGTTGTGATATGATTTGAGCCCTTGCAGCATCTTCAACTGTTCTGTCTTCTTTCATCATACATTTCTTTGCAGCATCAATCTGTATGCATTTTTGACTACTCAAGGCAGTTTGTTGTAGTTGTTGCCCGCCAACACTTTGCGTTTTTACAAAAGCATTATAAACCTGAGGGACCGTCGATTCTGTTTTCACAACACCACCGATTCTGTCCTTGTACTGAGGAATATAAGTGGATAAATTTTGTCTTGCTGCTTCTACTCTAGAATCTCTGGGTGTAGGTAACGGCTTATCAGATTTTAAAGGATTAGGTGGTGGGCCAGCTGCAGGAGATTTGGGTCTAATAGCAGCAGAAGGCCTTGATGAAAAAGGAGACACACTTCTTCTTTCAGGACAAGGACTTGGTGATCGCGAAATAGCAGGACTCGCAGGGTTTAATAAATTGACTTCTGCTGCTTTGTATTGTTGAGCTACTAAACTAGCCTGGTAATAAGGTATAACCGGTGGTGGTTTGTTAATCATGCTAGGTGTAACTGCTCGTGGACGAGGCGAAAATGTTGAACTTGGTGGTCTTTCTTCACAAACTGGTTTAAACGACTGGTCAGGATGCAAGTTATTTTCTCCCGGCTGTACTCTGATAATTGGTTTCATCTGGAATTCTCTTGGTGGTTTCGGTGGAGGAGGAATGCTAGATTGTTGTTGTTGCTGCCTCTGTTGCTGCTGGATTTGTTGTCTCTGCTGCAACAGTTGTTGTTGCTGTCTCTCTTGCTGCAATTGTTGTTGTTGCAGTTGTTGTCTCTGCTGCAGCAATTGTTGTTGTTGTCTTTGTTGTTCTAATTGTTGCTGTTGTTGTCTTTGTTGTTCTAATTGTTGCTGTTGTTGTCTTTGTTGTTCTAATTGTTGCTGTTGTTGTCTCTGTTGTTGTAGCTGTTGCTCCTGTTGTCGTGCCTTAGCAGCCTCAACTTTTTGCATAATCAGCAAGTCTGCTTCAGCATTTTCGGATAAGTTTACTTGATACTGAGGCAATCTGTCAGGTTTGTGTAAGGCTGAAACCAAGGGCACAGGCTTTTTTAAAACAACTTGTTCACTTTGTTTTGCTATTTGTTTAGATTCTTCGCGAGACTTTTCGTGGATTTTGGATTCTTCCTTTATGGTTTCTGTAACGCTTTCAGTGCTAGCACCCGTTCGAGAAATTTTCACACTAGGAGTCTGAGACCTGTCTGAATGAATGATAGGAGGAGACGTCGAAATTTCTATTTTAAACTGTGAGTGCTCTGATTTGTTTTCAAAAGAACAACTGAACCCTTTGAACAATGGATACATTCCTTGTGGTTTCTCGTCATCGATGTTCTCAATGGACTCTTCGACAGTACTTTCCGTCTTATGTTTTTCAATAACTTTAGATGATGATGTTTGCACATCTTTCTCTTTTTCTTCTTTCTTTTCGTGTATTGTAACTGGAAAAGGTTTAGGCGCTTGTGGCTTCTCTTCTCTTAAAGGTCTTTGGAAAGATGAGGGCAGCGCAGTAGGTTTTAAAGGTTTTTGTAAATTGTTGTTTACTTCTTTTCTTTCTGAAGCCGCTTCTTTTACAGATATTTGCTCAACTGTAACACTTTCTGGAAAAAGTGGAGAATACGGTCTGTCAGAAGCTGTCGTTAACGCATCTCGCATTGAGAGTCTGCACTGAGGTTTTGGCAAATCTTTAAAAAATTCATCAGTTGGATCTTTCTTTTTCTTTACAGGTGCTCCACCGACAGGGGTAAAGGGTCGTTCTGGTGCTGTTTGTAACGCTTTCACAAATTGGGTTGGAGGTTTCTCCGGTTTTGGTTCTTTTGGTTCGATAACAAAAGTGTGTTCTGGTGGAAAATAAGGAACGGTTTCTTCTGGAAGCGGTATTGGTTCTACTGTAGTTATCACTGGTTGGGCTGTAAAGGGTTCTGATGGAGCAATAACCAACGCTGATGCCAAAGCGCTAGAAGAGAATTTTTTCGGTATTTGAGTGAAAGGATCCTTTTCTTTAGATGCATCCGGTATCGTACGTAAAGCTTGTACCATGGGAGACTCCCATTTTTGTGGAACCACGTTTTCTATTTGACTCACTAATTTACATTCTACTGTGTTCGGTTTAAAGTCGGTCAATCTTTTAAGTTCGCAAGATTGCACACTTTCACAAGACGCGATACTAGATTCTTTTAACGAGCATTCTGTGGTACAAACCTTTTCAGTTTTGATAATCTCTGGAATAACAATATCTACGTTAAGTGGAGGCGGGGATTTGGGTCGGTTTTTCAGAACGTTTTCAATCAGTTTTTGAGTCTCTAGAGTCTCAGATATCGTTTCAATGCATTCAACGGCACTTCTTCTACCAGTTATCTCGCAAACTTCTTCAGAAGCCAAGGATAATTTTGGTTGCTGATACATGTTGAAGTTATAAACTTCGAAATCTTCAGTTTCTGATATTGTGTCAGACTTATCAACGTCTTCTTGTTTAATAGTTTTTGGATTTACGTTAAGGTGAGTAGCAGGTGGGACATATAATGGACAAGCTGTAGGAACTTCGGGTTCTTCTGGAGGAGGCGGCCACACAAAATTTTGTACACTACGATCTTCTAGTTAATGAACAACAGTAGCAAAGGTTAAACAAGTAGCGGTAAAACAAACACAAAACCAAAGGGTGCAACAAAAAAAAAGAAAAATTAAAGAAAAATTAATGTAAGTGTCAAGCGAGAATTGTTACATCTTATCTTCCGGTGAATATAACGTAATATAACAAAAATATATCAAGAAAACTCCACTGTGGATGGGACCAAACATAAACGTACATCTTACAATGTGAGTAAGTAGTAATCTATTCTGAAAATATAGGAACTTAAATGACATTCATTACTTATCTAATTCTACTAAGCTAGAGATGTAAAGCTAGCGGTAGCAAGTTAATTATCTAATACAAGGGAAAATGGGCGAGGTTTGGGATTAAAAGATTTATAATCTGTAAAGACGAAAAGAATAAATAAATAACGTAACAACAAACAGAAGATAACAACAAATCATAACACAAGGGGGGGAATTAGGGAGCTTTCTTGATACTATAATTCTACATTTTGCCATTCGTTCTACCAATTACTTATTATCACCCAAGATTAGCACCCAAAGACTAAATAAGCGATCTTCACACTGCAACTATAGTACCTTTAAACACGGAACCAGCTGGTTTAGCAGCAGGAAGACGTCCTAATTAGAAATAATTGTGTTCAATATATTTTCTTATTTGGCTTCAGGGCGACTATTTCATTATTTGAAAAAGTACGCATACGTACCAGCTGGTGATGCTGGACTGAAAGATGGAGCAGGTGCTGGAACCACAGGAGATAATGGTGCAGCTGGAGGAGGTGCCGCTCTAGGTAAAGTGTTGTAATTTGGAGCTGACACCGGTGCACTCACGCTCGAGAATGGTTTAGGAGTTGTCGAGTAGTTACCAGCCTACAAGAAAAAACAAATTAGTTGAATAATATCTCTGACTTACCTATTTCTTATCTAATGATTGAAGTTATGGATTAAACCTTACCTTGTTCATGAATTTGTTGAAGGAAAGTGGTGTACTGTTATTTAAAACATTATTATTTATTTTATTACTGCTATTAGACTCTGTTGTTATATTTAGACTTTGCAAAGGCATCGTAATTGTTTCCTTATCGTCTTGTGAAGGCTAAAATGATGCAAGGCATGCATAGACAACACAGAACTCGACTGACATCGATTTAGGTTTGATGAAAGAAAATTTACCTGGAACGGTTGGGCGAAATTTGTTTTTGGAAGTGTTGGAAGTGGTGCAGGTGCAGGTGCAGGTAATGGATGAGAAGCTATAGCCGAAGAAATAGCAGTAACAGGAGATTTACCACCACTGTAATAATAATATTGATAACATAGAATCATGAAATACGATATAAGACTTACGGAGGTACTGTTACCGGTACCAAATTTGGAGCTGGAGGATTAGTTCTTGCAGCTAGTTTCGCATGGACATCGCAATACAACTTGTTGTTGATGTTGTAATATCTGAAAACGTGGATTACCAATTCGAAAAACTTCTTTCGTCGTGCTTACCCAACGTTCTTCAAAGATGTTCCGCAAGTGGAGCACTTGAAGCATTCAACGTGCAAGTTCTTGTCCTTAATGCGCACAAACACTCCACTGCAACAAAACCAAAAATTTGAAACAATTCTTCAGTATCGTAGTAGGTTTCTACGACTACGCACACCACACCAGAATTAATCCAGCAGAAGTAGGTAGTTCTAAAGAGGAGATACTAAGTTTAAGGTCATGCAAGAGGTAACCATAGACAGTGTGCATAATATACTTTCGAAGTGATCTACAATGGAAGGGCCACTATCGAGGAAAACAACATCGATCCAACATCAAGTCGGACTTACACGATGACCCTTTCGCATTCGGTACACTTAGTGACTCCCTCCTGATTAGGGTTATAGGTATTTGGATAATCCCCCAATCGACTGCTTAGCCGACTGTGGTCGTCTAGCGGGGTATTAGATCTCGGCGATGTCACTTGGCGACCGCCAACAGCGTATAAATCGGGGCGGGGGCTTACTGTTAAGCACAGAAAAAACAGAAAACCGTCAAAAAATGGCCGACTACAGAAATAAGCAACCTTTTCACGTTACGACGCCGCCACCCTCAATCTCGAACACTGTAAAAGCTTACTTACACTATCAAACGCTCGCAGTCCGCACAAATATTTTGACCGGGAGGAAGTTGCGGCTTTTCTGAGGCAGGACGGGTCTCGGGAGCAGTGACGTGCCGCAAACCAGTAATTGCTGATGGTGCTACTGTTGTTTCTGGCTCTGGTTGAGCGTAACATTAATATGGACATTACGTACGAAAATATCTTGGAATTAATTTATAATTTTAAGAAAGATTCACCAAAAGTTGGTATCAGCGGTTTCGGGTCTGAGAATCAAAATTTTAAATGGTATTTTTGCATCTAATAAACAGTTTTTTCATTACATTATAGCGATGTATTTTCTTTAACTGTACTATAGTTAAATTACATTAATAAAACCTGAGTTTGCTGCGTTTTGAAGAATTAGCCCTGTTTTTGGGGTATGTTTTCAAAACAAAAGAACTTGAAAAAAAATTATCCCCGTCTAGAAGAATTATTATACTCCTATCAGTTTTGGCTTCTTGTTTTTCAACCTCTTTCGAAAATGACTAGAATTTTAAATATATCTAACAATTACGACCTCTTTGAAATTAGGGTCCTGCTCTATGGACTTAGATCCAACATGACTAAATTCCCTTTTACTTTCCAATAGGAATCTCCGAAACTACCGGAGCGATTGTTAACAAATTTTATAGGTATACGAGTATATTCTACACATTTAAGGAATATTGTGTAGATGCTAAAACGCTAACCAAAATTTGTCTGATTATCCTCACGAACAATCTGATGACGTCATCTCAAAATTTTGCTACGATTTCAGCGGTTAAGCTGGTACATTCGGTTGTTCAAATGGTAATTTTTTTCAGTAATTATAAAAAAATCAATTAGGGCTATAGAAAACTGTAGAACTGGGACACATCAATGGCCTACGAGTTTTACCAATACCATTATTTTAAAAATAAATTTCGTGGCCTACTAAAAGACTATTTGTTTTCGATCATTTGGTTCAAATAATAAAAAAAAAGTGTGTGAACGTAATTAGGTGAATACCTGTACAGTGTAGTTCGTACATTTTATAGAATGGATTTAAACTGAACTGAAATTAGGAAAATCAGAAAATAGATCTAAAATATATAACAAGTAAAATGCGCGGGAAATAAAAACCATTTTATCTTCTGCTCTCACTCTACACTGTATTGTTGGTTGCCTATATAAACATGGTAGTAGCAATATCTAGCAACATTTTAAAATAACGAACAATAAAACATACACAAAAATTTTGACTTCAGCATTTATATTCGATTACGAATTTTCCTGTTGACGTAACTGACCTTGTAGTCTTCTTTCTTTTCCATTCTATCAAAAATGTACCTTACGTGCTGACTCTTAATTGTAGAGATTCTTTTAAAAATTCAGTTGATTTTTAAAAGAGGCTGAAAAACAAGTGCCCAAAACTGGTATATACATGTCTACTAGCTGATGATAAGACTTGTCTCTTAAATTTCTCTTCCTTTGAAACTATACTTTTAAAACTTTTAACGTTTGTACCAAAATGGAGCTTTATTAGTTAAACTGATCAAATATAACCACACAATGCATAATTTGCAACCCCTGGATACCTGATAGTTGTCACAACGCAGAATAGTCACTTACATATTTATATCTAAGGCGCGTTAACAGCTTTTGGTGCATCCGAAATTGCTTCGCCAATTGTTAAATTAGCTCCAAGATTACTAAATGACTACGTCATTAAGTCCATAGTGTTAGAACAATACCTGCTTCAGGTGTCTTTGGCTCACTCTCAGCTTCCTGAAGCATACGATAAACAGCGCTGTTGGTGGCGTCATAGGTCCTTTCGTTTTTCTTAAAATTAACTCTGAAACATCACGTAGACATTTGTAACGATTGTAGCAATCGGAAATCATTTAGAACAAATTATGTAACATCTGGCATCTAACCAAACGGTTTTTTAATTTATATTTTTATAAACAATATTATTTCTGGTGAAAAGAGGGCATTAAGTAAAGTATGTTAAGGGGAAAATGCAAGTTTAGTTGACATATCATCTTATCGGTTTATTTTTAGCCACACTGATACTCGACATGGCTTTAAATTTAGTAATTTGGCAAACACTTAGTTCTGGAAGGAAATGGATACATGTTGTTGTTGTTTTATCGCGCGGAATTCCAAAGTCTGCTTACCCTAGGGCTCCTGTTGACAAAACTTCGGTCTGCGCGGATAAGGTTTCAGCTATGCTCTCTTCAGAGTACAGTTTCAACGGAGAGTTGTATTGATTATTGACTAGCTTTGGTCCACCATTCACAGCACCATTCAACTATTAAAAAAAAAACAGGATATAAAACTCCCGAAACAAAATTTTTTTAATTTTTACAAATACCTGTGGACTGAACGGCTTAGCTGAGAGATTGTGCGCAGTACCAATGCTTCCACTTGTATCTTTCTTGGTAGCAGCCAAGGAGGTCTTAGTGACAGTGGTTGCTGCTGAATGTACGGGTCCCGTGGGAGTGACTGCAGGTTTCCAAACTGATCCTCCTCTATAACAAACGAATCACGATTTGGGCAATTGGTCAAAATGCAAGTCCAAGTTAAATTAAGCAATCCCTTTTCTATTTTTTACCTTTGAACAGTAACTTCGAAAGCAGGTCCTGCTCTGATTATTACGTCTTGCGCATCTTTGTGTCTCAGGTTGAAAACATCTGTGGTGTTTACTTTGATCACGGAATCACCAGCTATTAATCCAGCTCGCTCTGCCGGAGAACCACCATTCACCTGAAAACAACGAAAAATAACTGTCAATGATTGTGAAAACGTCAACGTTCAACATGGATGTGCATTCGTATACCAAGTTATGCAAATTATTCGACGAATATTATCGGTGCAAAGATATGACCGGGGACGAGTTTATACAAATGAAATTAGTGTGTGCCGACGGAGTGCCTCTATCCGAAGGTGAAATCGAAAAATTTGTCCTGATCGTCATACACAAGAACTTCCTCAGTGCCGTCAAAAACAACATTGTCTCTCACTACAACCTCAGGAATCACAGCGACGTAAAAATAATAATGGTCCTTTACGTCGTACTTTTTGCTTCCAACCAAGCGGACACCCAAAAATTGTTTGAAGTGTTCCAGGAAATGAAATGCGCTTACAAGAATAAAATATTACAATATTTTTGGGACGAAAACAACTTGATTCAGACGGCACTCACCGGATGCAAATTCTTCGAAGATGAATACATTTTGAGTCAAATCATTAATCCTCTTTTAAACAACACCGAACATCTTAGAAAATTGGATGAATTTCTTTACCTCGAAAAGATCAAAAAAAGAACCCCGAAACCTACAACCGTTCCAGATAATTTGACCGTTCTACGCCGAGGGAAAAGACCACCTACGGCTCCACTGAACACTCCTGTGGAGTATAATATGTTCCAAGCAACCGAAATTCCGAATACACTCTACATGCCAGACAATGTAGAAAAGAGGCTAATGGGAGAATTTGAAAAAAATAAAATAAGAGCGCAAAAACTACTGGCGCAAGCTAAAGCTCTCCAGAAGAATTATTGCCAACCTAAAAAACCGGTGGTTTTAGAAAAAGTCCCTCAGCCTCAATTTAAGGCGAAGAAAGCCCCTCGCAAGCAGCACCAAGTCGAGATTAAAGGAAACGTTGCAAGTGTATTGCGGGAAGCCAGTCGTTGCGTGAAAGAGCAAGAACAAGAAATTAAACACATCGAAAACATTGTTCAAGGAGGTGCAACGTTAGATGGGTACAGAGAACTGGAACGAAGCGTACGCGAAGCTGAACACCGAAATAAGATTGAATACATAGAACGAAAACACTTGGAAGGGCTGTTAACATTCGAAGAAGCAATTCTGGCGAAACGTAAACTCATAGAATGTAACAAGGAACGCTTCAAAGAGTTCATGGAAGAACGCGAACAGTTCTTAGAACAGATGGAAGAATGGAGGGAGCGTGAGCAAGAAAAAATGAAAGAGCAGGTTAGAAAGTGTCAGGAAATTGAACGCAACGCCAAAGAATCGGAAAAGAGACTGAAGGAAGAGAGACGGAATCAAGCTGACTTGTTCAAAGATGAAACGAGGAAACTTTTGCAGGAAGCTTACGAAAAGCAACAGCAAGAATTAGCAAAGAAGATAAAGCTTATTGAAGAGATAAAAACGCTGCATCAGTTGAAATCGTTGCATCCGGTGAAAGAGTTCGACCCTACGGACTGTCCGAACCTGGGTTTGCTTTGTCAGATGTCCATAGCTGAGTTACAGGAGAAGCTTGCTGAAGTGAAAATTCGAATGGAGAAGCAGTTGGGGCAGAAACGACTGTGTATTCAGAAGTATAAAGAGAGACAGAGAAAGATGATTGACGATGTGAAGAATTTCATTACGCAAACACGGATGTCAAAACCGAAACGGTCACTTGTGCCAATTCGTACAAACAAATTAGCACGTAATCCTGAACTAGATAAACTGAGAACTCAGTTGGACTACGCTAGGGAACAAAGAAGGAACAATCTACAACTTGACAATATTCCTTGTCCTCAAAGATGTCAAATTAATATGTGATGTATTATCTAAAATTTTAGAATACATTTCCGTAATGTCTTAATTGCTTTCACAAATATGTGGATGTCATAAATGAATCATTTAAATTAACACTTCGTTTTAGGAAAGTTTGAATCGCCGAAGAGATTATTCACATTTTTGTGTGATTAAACGGAACGATGATAAAGGTGCTGATGAGTAAAAAAGAAAGTTTGTTTTGACCACACGCGTGCTTTAGTGCATTTCCTGAAAGAGATTATTAAGAGGTTTTTGACGCGTAAGTAGGTCTTCGAATGATGCGTGAAGTTTGACGGTCATATATGGGAATAAAGAATAAAGAGCTTTATATTCAAATGAATCGTTACCCATGTATGTATGTATGTATAAATTGTGTTTACCTTGAAAAAGTTATGGTTGAACAAGAATTTTAGATATGTTATCACAATGCTCATACCCGTGCTATTAAAAAGAAAATAAACTAAAGTAAATAAACTACAGGCATTGTCGAAGTTCACTGAATTATTTAAAAATGACTCAACCAAATACTGGCTTTAAAGTAAAATGGAAATGAACTTAAGGAGGCGTATATACAACAAAATGATAATGTAGGGGGCAGGTGTAACCTATGAATAAATTCAAATACCACTTAAAAAAATAAAACACTCTTGGCAAGCCACGAAGCCGTAACATTGTAACATATCAAACGCATCCCAAACACTTTATTTAAATAAATCTAAATAAGCATTTACAATAAAGTGTGAGTTTTTGGAGTGAAAAAAAAACAGTCATAAATATTTAGTTCCTAAACAAGTACACAGTTTTAAACATGCGTGCCCCTGACAGTAGATAACGAAAATTAATAATTAATGGTTGACGATAAAAATGAGACATTCGAATAATTAGTATCGCAATGTAACTGCCAGTGCTTTTATGGTCAATGGTCTGCGTATTTATCAACATTTTTAGGATTTTATTGGTTATTAAATTTCCATTACTTTTTTGACAAACACATAAATACTTTTCATTGAAGGAATTTAAGCAACGTTTCAGGCAATGAGTTGTGGCTTATAAAAATGTCGGTTGCTACTTTCATAAAAGCTTCTTTGAATATCACGTTACATAAGAGAAATAATAATTCATGTATAAGCTAAAGAGAAAATTGATTCCAGACGTTCAAAAGGATTAATCACGGAACGATTAGATTGGAAATGAAGTCAGACAGATGAAATTTGTCTGATCTTTAATTTAAGTAATGTATCATGTTAACCCACAAAACTCTGAAAACCACAGCGAACTTGCAAAACATTTGCAGAATGAATCAGACTGCTAAATATAGACAATTTGACCGATGCAAAACACAAAAAAATCTTTACGATTGATGACACGTTTTAATTGCACGGTTTACATTACTTATCATGTTTTTACATAAAATTGATGGGCACGCCGGGTTTCACGTTATTTGATTTGTGAAGTCAGTGTTCGCTTTGGCGGTCGATGAATTGGGCCATTTTTAAGACGTCCTACCTCTTTTCCTGTTCTAAGAAGGAAAAATTGCGCACAAAGTAAACAAAATGAGTCCGGCGTTGTTTATGACTTGTTGCATTGTTTGCATTTTTGTAGTCTTGCTCGTCTGCACTTTTTGTTTTATAAAACCTTGTCTGGACGGAAACCCATTTACCTTCGAAATATTTACGATAAGTGCAACAAAAAGCCGAGAAACCTGCAACATTCCTGTTAACAATAACGGACATTATTGCTGAGCGCCTTGCGATGCCATCAATAAAACCGCAATTAATATTTGCGGCAAGTTGCACTATTTCATACGCCTAATTACCCACAGAGAGAACAAGAGGAACACTATGTTTGCAATTACTTCACAAATGAACATTAATTTATAATTATAGATCGCTGCTTTGTTCTTCCAAAAGTCTAAAGTTTTATTGTCGCGTAAAATTTAATTTCCTTCCACACTAAATAGGTACTTAGTAAGGTACTCAGCTTTTCCCCACTCCTGTGAACGATGATGCGTCTCATTTTTTCCTCAGTACTTATGCTAAGTGGCAGAGGCCGCAGACCATGAACGGAAATCCGGCAGACAGTCTTTCTCAGAAGGAAAAAATTGCAATTTCCCGGAGCGACTGGGATAAGCAACGAAATTAATTGCATAATGATACTGGGCGTTTGTTTTTCATGATGAATATTATTATGAAAGTTGACTAACCACAGACGACAGAATGTCCGGTTTCCGGAGGCGTTATCTCCGAAGCTTTATTTCTGAACTTGTGGAAGCACGATGTCGATTGAGGTTGAATTTCATTTCTGACGTCACGGTTTTGGCGTCATCAACCTTTTTTGGCGCCGGAAGTGTTGGAACTGCAGTAATAAGCAAATAATTGTCTGATATTTTATTTAATGATACTGTAGTAAAAACAGTTAGTCAGTGTTTTAAATTTAACTTGCTTCATGAAAACCGTGCGATTTATTTTTGCACCAGCCTACGTGCTTCGGGTTTAAACTATTGTCGATATTTTCCCGATTTTACCTGTAGGAAATTATTCAGCCGGATAAACTTGGTAATTTTATCGATTCTTTACGTAATCTATATTTGCGTTATAATCGATTAAATATTTGCGATTGAAAATATCATCAAGTGTCAATATGTGTTTAATATTTTCTGGTTATCATTTTTTGGAATTAGTGTTTACTAATGTTATTTAGTAAATATAAATTGAGTAATGAGCAATATTGACTGTTCCATGGAAAATTCTACCTATGTATCCGGTAGTCGACGTTTCTGACCCTGAAAATTTATTTCGCAAAATTCACAGTTAATTTCCAAGAACTCAAAACTGACCTACCACGAGTTTCATTTCATTAGTTCTGAATTGAATAAAACCAGGAGCTTAGTTACAGATCAGCTAATTACAGTCTTGGATGTTACAAGATCGCTTCAGTGATGCTAATAAAGTCTCAATTGAAACAAGAAATAAAGTAATCGTTGATTCCAAACGAGTTTTCATCAGTAATCGTAACTCTCACTGACATCTGAGATTGGTTTCCACAAATCTCCGGATTTCAATCGAAAATTGACCTATGAAAAAAATTACTCCGCAGTTACAGCGCACTTTAAAAAATATTTAATCACAACCTAACGAGGTTCTCTAGACATTTTGATTCGATATTCAGGGACGCAGAAAAAATTAAAATTAATACCAC